GTCCCGCGCCGTGATAAATCTCCCCTATAGGTGTGAGCAGAGGAAAGGGTTAATAGCCCACTTTGCAGCAAAATCCGAAAATACTAAAAGCTCTCGGGGAAAAAATTTATTTATAAATGTCTGAAAAAGATTATTTATTGCCGAGTGAGATTGGGAATTCATGGCGTAGCTTTCATAGGTCAAAAAAACTCTGGAAATTGAAATTCTAGTATAAAAATAAAATATGCTCAGTCATTGAGGTTCAAATCAAGAGCGAAACATTGATTTTCATGATTAAATATTTTAAAACGCCTTCTCTGATGGACAAAATTTCAATTTGTAGTGCTTTTTATTTTAAAAGAAAGTGGAAAATAACTGTTAAATTGGTAAACTATAAAAAATAACCATTTTTATAAATTAATATTTTCTCATTTTACTTCAATAAAATATTATACCATCTTATTTTTATTTTCTTCTCTTTTCCCTGAACTCTATAATAAAAATATAAACTTGAACATCGTAATCCACAAACTTTTGTGTGTCACCTTTTTTTTCCAGTTTTAAGAGATTCGAAGCTTTTAAGCTGGAAATGATAATTTGAGAAACTCCAGCTGAATTGGTGCTAAATTTCGCTCACATCTGCGGAGTTTTCCCCCCGACGCCATAAAAATGCGCAATAAAAAGTTTGTCTAATTCCATTTCTTCGATTTCCTCGCCCCTCGAGCGCGCACCCTCGAAAGAAAAAAAACCCGTAAAATGAAAGTTGCACGAAATCCGACAAATATTTAGCCAGCTGCGCGAGGAGGATCCACTTTCCATAATTTGCTCCGATGAATATTTCAACCTTGTAACACTCAGGGTTACTTTTTGATTCAGATCCAATAAGTGGGTTCTGCTTATCCAGAAGTTTAAATTAGCTGCTCAGAAACTTAATCTCAAATTCAGAAAAGATGCACAAAAAGGTATATTTCAAATTAAAGAACTAAAATTGCAAAAGAAAAGAATTAATTTTTAATTTTAATTTTAAACGGATTTTAATTGCAAAGCGAGTCAATGCAAAAATAATAAGAAATTTGTATTTGCAAATTAATTGTGATTTAACTGTCTGTGGTTAGTAGGTGGGGCTAATTTGTGTAGAAAGTGTAATGTGTAACAAAATATCAATTTGGAAAAATATAATAAATAATCAAAATTTCACTCGACGAGCGTTCGGATCGAGTTCACTTAAAGGCACAAATGAGAGGTACTCATCGTGAGCTGTGTGTCGAGATGGTCTCGGCGAGGGGAGCGACCCCTGATGGTGTCGGTGCTTCGAAGGTCGACCTGGTGTTCGGTCGGACGACCGCCGGCTGAGGGTGGTTGGTGACCGAGGTGGTGGTGGTCACACGTGAGCACGAAGCGCTGCAATTGTCGACAGCGCTCCATCCGCAAACGACGCTGGCGGACGGCAGCTCTGCCGGGCCGGACAGTTGCGATAATCAACGGCCCCACAGGGCACCTGGGTTGTGCAAAGAATTTGGTTTAGTCGACGCGCCCAATTTTCAAAATGAAACAAGGGAAGGAATGGTCCAGAAGGTCCATTCGGGATGCCGCCCAATTAAGGGAAAAATTCTGAAAAGCAACTTACGTTGACTCTTCTCGCAGAACGTTCGTATCCTCCAATTGACAAGAGGAAGCGGCCAACCTGCTGCTGGCACAGCAGAGGCCAGGTGGTGTTTTCACAACCACTGATCGTGGGCGACTAAACCAAAACTGCACGAGGTCAAAGACCTTTACCCGGGAGTAACCTGTGTGCTCTTTATCAGTGCAGGTGGTGGGGGCACTGTTTGGCGGCGAGTGCAAATGCACTTCTTTCTCTCTTCTTCTTCTCGGCACCGCGCACTCGACACTTCTCACACGCAGAATAAAATGTTGACGACGAATAAATTAATTTAAATAAAAGTGTTTGTGTTTTTGTGTGTTCAAGGGAAAGGATTAATTGAGAAAGGAATATTCAGTTTTAAACAATAATTCCAAATCAAAATTCCCAATTATTGTTACAACCTCAACGAACAGAGAGAGCGCCCATTACACTGTCGCGCTCTTTTTCCTCGTCTGTTGAATTATTTTTATTGTTTCACCCTTGTGTGTGTGTGTTTGCATAGCTGTATATGTATGTATGTGATTTGATGCAATTACCAGCACGCCATGAAGCTTCAAACGCACAGGAGTATTTTGCGTTACCAACGAGGCTAATTGGTCGTTAGCGAAGAATTAGCAAAATGATTACGCTCCGATAAACAATAGAACGTAATGGGGTGCACTGGGCGTTGTTTGTAGCGTATTGTTGTGCTGGGTCCGCAGCCAGTCAAACACGTTCTCGCGGCGGCGGCATTCATCACGAGGCCGGATCTTTGTGGCAGAGATTCAGTGTCGCTTACCCGGCTGCCCATTCACTTGTCGCGGCGCCGGCTTTGTGCGAAATTGCGGCCTCGTAACTAACTGGCCGACGCCGTGCGGGTGCATTTGCGCCCCAGTCATGCTGATTGTTATCCCTAACCAAGGACGTGCCACATCCGCTTTCCAATACGCAACATGTTCCGGCGCCCTGATTGAAAATTGCGAAAATTGCTACTTTTGGTAGGTTAAAATTATTTAAAAGTTATAATTTTTAGCTATTTATTTTTAGTAATTGCTAAACAATTTAAATTTTATGTTCACGTTTTTATCAATATTTAATATTAAAAGATATTTTATTTATTGAATTATTTTTATTCATAACTTACTTGATAAAATTTTATGACTCAATCAAAGAGTAAAATTAATTTCAATTTTATTTAAACATCCATGAGCTGATCATAACGTTGTAATAAACTGAAAAATATCTCTGATATGAATGTTATTTTTTGGGTGATCATCATGATATTAAAATTCTTATTAAAATGAAATATATCGAATCATGAATAACGAAATTCACTCTAATTATTAAAATTTTTAAGTAATTAGATAATAATCATTTAATCTAGCATCCACCTATTACTGCACTTCTATTGGATAGTTTTTTTCGTTAATAAAGTAAGAAAGTGTCATCAAATAAGTACCCAAAAATATATACAAAAGAGTCTTTTGTTGTTTATTTATTAAATTTTAGTATACAATTTTTATTTACATTGAAAGAAAAAACGCCTATTGGGAAAGAAAAATCGATTTTTAGACAAAAAGGCACCTGCACAAGCACAGATTCTGCTAAAACGTCTGAGATCAAAAAGATCCCATTCACCACTGTAAGCCTTGGTTGTTTTAATATCTCCTAAATACATTAGAATTTAAATGATTGAAAAAGCTCTAAAAACTTTTTCTGAAAAAAAAAATGTTTTAGTTTCCAAGTAATCTTTAATCTTAAAGCAAATTAAGATCTCAGGGAGGGTATTAAAAATTAAAATTTTACGATCATTGAGCATGAATATTCAAATTAAATTTATTCCCTTTGATGACTTTTGCTTTAATTTTATTTTAATCAAATCCATCAAAAGAATCACATTTTTTTAATTCTTTACTGTGGTAACTAGAAGATTTTATCACCCCCGTGAAAGGGCCCTTTAAGGAGATGCTTTTAAAGTTCTCAAGAGTAAAAATCGAAATTCTCATTTGCTATCAAAAATTCTTTCGGACCACTTGGCGCACGCTGCGACCGCAAAACTAGTTGGCGGATGAAAGAGCCGGAAATCCTCGGCACCGAGAGAGAACAATGGTCTCTGGGTGGATGCCTATCTTCGCCTCTAGCTCGTCGGCATTTTATGCGAAATTGAAATTAGCCGAAAAGTTTTAATCGCGCGATCAGTGAGCGAGAGCGAGAGAGAGAGAATCCCCGTCCATTCAAAGTTGAGCCGAAGAGAGAGATCTGATGAAAGAAAAGCAGAGCAAGAACAAACGGCGTCTCCTTATTGGTATTTTCTCGACCGACGGAAGCAGAAAGGGTTCTCTCTTTCCTTAAAGAGGGCAAAAAGCAGCGAGAATTTCGTGCTGCTTATGAAGATGCCCCCGAATCGATTCATCGAAGCTTTATATATATTTATAAGCGCCAAGCATTGTGCCCGATCTCGCCACCAAATCCCTGGAAACTTAGTTAGAAGAATGTCCCTCGTCTTTCTTTCACTCTCTCTCTATATCACTGGAAAGAGAGAAATGGAAAATTGCGAATTAGAGGCCCGTTGTTGAGAAATCAAGGTCCGTGAAAGGAGATTTACGCTTTCAATCTTTCCTGCACTTTTTCTTCTTCTTCCTCTCCCTCTCTCGGTCGGTCGCCCCGGCTGGCTTTTTCTATATTATAACTCTTTCATCATTTTTTTTTCTTGCGGGCCCAACTTTGATCCACTTTCGATTCATGTTGGCCATTTTGTGCTTCGTCGCACCGAAATTGTGTTAATCGCGGATGAAAGAGAGAGAGAGGCTGCGGTTTCTCCTGGGCGAAACTTTTTGCTGGCGTCGCAACACCAAGCTTGATTAAGCTCAGCCTCCGCACCTTTCAAACGCTGTTCCAGATTGCGCTAATTGACGCTCAGATATTAGTTAATTACTGTTCAACGCACATAAAATCACTCAAGTCATAAGTTTACAGTTTGCAAATTAATAAACTGGCTTTCAACAATGGAAATAACATTTCATGCGTGTTTCCTATTGAGAGAATTGAAATTAAATTAAATATAAACTCCACTCGGATCAGAAATGCTACAAATATGCGTATGTGTTGAATAAATATAAACTTAAAACGACAGAAAAAACATAAACTCTATTTTTTTCCAATGAATATTTAAAAAAATCTAATATTAATATGCATCAATTTTTTGAACATACAAATAATATTACATTCAATGCTAAATAAATTACACTTTTTTATTTATATTACATTAAAAATAATAGCAATTTTATTATCGTTTTATATAATTTGCTCAAAGAATGACTTGCTAAAGTTAGAAAGTTAATATAAGGATTCCCCGCATCTTCATCTCTCACTGATCAGTGTGTCTTGCGTGTGTTAACAGGTGCCGCGAGCGTTACGCTTTTCAAAGTGGAAGTGCCGGATTTCAAGAGGGTCGGCGAATCGGCCACGCTGCTGTGCAATTACTCGCTGGCCGACGGCGAGGGACTTTACTCTGTCAAGTGGTACAAGGACAACGAGGAGTTCTACCGGTACGTGCCGAGATCGCGGCCCGCCATGCACAGCTACAAAGTCGAAGGCGTTGAAGTTCAGGTAGGTCGGCACTCGCTCTTTTCTTTTTTCATCTCCTTCAGCGGCTTTAGCTCGGCTGTCATCCCTTCACACTGCGCACTTTTGCTTGTCACCGACTGCTCACTTGAGCCTGTGGTGAATAATGTAACTGGAATTTTACACGTCGCCTCCAGAGAGATCTCCTCCTGCCGTGAAATGTTTGCCCACTTTAATTAATAACGTAGAATTATATTATTTTCACAGCATTGACTCTTGACAGTGCTTTTATCTTTACGTAGAAAAATAAGTTGAAGAAGAATTCAATTTTTATGTAGTTTATAATTCTTCGAGTTGACCAAACACAATTGTTTGCCAAAAACTAAAATATTTGTAGCTAAATTTTGATGCAAAAAGTTTGTTTGTTTCCCTTAGAGTCACCGTTTTTTCAAGCCCAAGTTTTAGTTGAAAAAGTCCCAGGTTAAAAGTCGCTTTAGGTCAAAAATGGTCTTTTTTTTGGTCAGGCTAAGACAAAGTGTCTTGTCAGCCTGTGCACATATTGAGATTGCGGACGGCAAGCTCCAATCTTATATTATTTGGGTACTTATTTATTTTATTTTTTAATTTTTTCTGTCTTTATTATCATCAATTTACAGTACTAGTACATTACTAGTACTGTACTAGTACATTACTAGTATTGTACTATAGTATATTTTTTTTCAGGTTATATTATTTTTCTTAGCCTCTCGTATATTTTGAATCAGATTCACAGCACAATTTGCAATGAAGCGTGGTCTGAATTGAATTGAATTAGATTAAAAACAAAAAATTAGTACAGTTTTTGTTTGTTTCGCCAAGAATTTGAGAATAAGTGAAGACGTTTATAATCACAAGAAAGAAGCTTTTGCTCGCTGAAAATATAATTATAAATTAACAAAATGTAATGTCAGTTTTGGTCATGAGATTTGTTATTTTTACAATAAAAAGTTATATCAAAGAGAGAAAACGCCTGTTTTCAACTGTTCACAAGGAACAGTTTTGCTTTTAAAGTAACTTTTGGCATCATTCAAATGGCAATACGAAAAAGCAGCACTTTGAAATTCTGCTATTTTTGAACGTACTCCACGCGGAAAGGATTTGCAAATTTGCGAGCGTATGACGTTGACGCCGCGCAAAACGGCCCCTGTAATTTCCCAGCGAAATACATGCATGTCGGGCAGGTTGCATACCCTCGGGGACGAATGGCACTCGAAATAGGCAGCGACAGCGAAAATCTATCTGCGTTCGCTCTATCCAGGCGAGAGATTGATCTGCGAGTGCGACAATATCAGTGTGGGGAACGAGAGCGTTTCGCAAGAGATTTCAATTTCTACCTCGATAGAGTTTAGGGAATTTCAGTGAGCCAGAAAAGCTAGTTATTGTTATTTTTTTTCTTTGTAGAGATTATACTGTCTTCCGTCGGGACAATAATTTTGGACATTTTTCAAGTTGAAGGCTTCAATATTAATTTATTTATAAATAATTTGTCATAATCCGAGCAAATAGTCTAAAAAAAAGTCTACTATAGGCAATCTTTTCAGGTTTTATAAAATTAAAAATATATGTGGAATAATTTTATTTTATTTAATATACAAGAACGTACTATTTTTCTATGTAGAGAAGGCAATTTTATTTAGATGTTAATTTGTTTCTGAAAGAAATCTTACTTATAAATTTGTCAAAACAATCATTATACAGGGAACATAAGTGAAAAATGTACCAGTCGAAAAAAATACTGTAAAGAAAATTCTCAAAATATTCCAAAAGCCTTTTTTTAAATAGGCTAAGAAATTTTTTTTTAACTTTCTCATATTTTGCAGCCAAATGTCACAATTTGCAAAGATCAAATGTCAGAATGAATCTGTTAGCGCATTAAATGCTAGTTGAAAACCCTTTCTTCTCTTTTTTTCCAATTTAAAATTTTTTTGTATTGACCAAGAAGAATAAATAATAATAATAATAATAAATAAAATACAATTCCTTCATGTAAAAAATTAAAAGTAGGTTAAATAATATAATAATAAACAAATTGTTTGCCCTCTTTTGTTATAAACTTCTGCTATTTTTTCATCAAGGGCCAACAGAGGAAGCCCTTTGCATCCTGACGTTGACTGATTTCGTTATTAAATTCCGAGAATAACTCTCAGCGAATCAAAGTCCAAAGCAGGCAAGGGCCCTCTGCTATATCTCACCCCACTCTAAAATAAAAGAGAAAAATGCTTTCCTCGAAAGCCCTTTGTGAATTTCCATCGCTATCAAGCAGTCCGACGTCGTCCGTGAATAACTCATTCAGGCTGCAGAGGACACATTATTCTCACGGGCAGGTAGACGGATCGGGTAGATGCATATAATAAAAAATCATTTGAGAATTATCGCACGAGAGAGAAAGAGAGAAACTGGAAATGTGACTATCATTTTACGCCGAGAAAAATAGCTCGTGGGTATATAAATCATGCCAAAATTTATACACGCCACGAGCTCCTTAATATTATTAGACTACTCAGTGAGCCGCATCACGCGAGCAGGCCAACAGTTAAATTATTGTTGCTGGCGAATCGATAAGTAGGAGAGCTAAGGCGGTGGCCAAACTTCCATGTCGTATAAATTCTCACCTCCGCCTCTCTTCAGTGGACCATCTTTAGTCCGAAAATGAAATTTCAATGCATTAAATTTTTAAATTTTTATTTTTGCTTATTTTTTCCATTTATTTCAAAAATTTTAAATGTTGACAAACATCGATTGTTGCAGGGAGGGAAAAATTGAATTGCTGGACAATAAATTCGGCACCACTTGCACGAAATTTGCTAAAACTTCCAATATAAAAAAAAGCTACGGATATTAAAAGCTGCATGAGATCAATGTAAATTTCTAGGCGGCCAACAATTGGATTTTTTACCTTCTAATATCTAAGGAGAGTAAAATAGTAAAATCCTATTTTACTCTCCTTACTAATATCTGTTGAAAAGCCCGAATTAATGACTTCAATGAGCCTCTGTTGAAGAAATATTTGGAAAAAATAAACAGTTTTCAAACTGTTTCAAACGATTTTTGTTTGTGAAATCTCATTTTTTAGTCGATGCTGAATTAAGGGATGCTGGAACCTAAAATTTTAAGTTTTCAAGAGTTAAATTTTACAGGACAAATGACAGTCTGGGATCATTTCATATGCTCAATTTCATAGTATTTTTTTATTTGTGACACATTGAAAATTGTCCCAACTATTTTAGGATGCCTTTTAACGAAGACATTTTTTGTTTATAGCTTGGTAAGCTTTATTAAAATACCTCTCACATAACAGTGGTGGCACCTATTTGTCCAAAATTTCAATATTTCCCTACCAGCAATTGTTTTCTTTTTAATTTCAAATTGGAGCATAAATTTTGTCAAATAAACATTAATTATAATAATATCAATAAAGTTTGCAACAAGAACGATTTGGTTTTTGTACAAATTCTATTTGTCAATGAGATAAACCTCTCCACATAATCTCACTATCTATATAACTTTGTTGTTTCATCCTAGCTTTTGGTAAATTTGATGCTGATCATTAATTTAAATTCTAATTCCTTTTTCGTTCCAACAAAAGTTGCGTGAATAAATCATTATTTCATTACAAGCCGCTTTGTTTTATTGCTCTTGCTAGCTATGTTTTGCGCACTCTCATTGTCCGCTCTCTGTACACTCGTGGGTGGCGATGATATAATAATAATTTTCCACGCCGCGTTTAGTCCACCCGCTAAAAACTCATAAACACATACCCGGGTATGGCAGTGGCTCTTTGTGTGCCGCGCGGTGCTGATTAAAGTGTTTATTTTTAATTCCCTCTCTCGTTCGCCAGTGGCATTTCACGTGCGCGCAGCAAACGTGGTGGGTTTCGAATAAGTCCTCAATTTGCTCTTTTAAGTTTGTTTTTCAGGAAAGGATAATTATGTAGAACAGCATTACAAAAAGGTTAATTAATTACGCATGTTAATTTTACTCATATTAAATATTTCAAAAAATTACAAATTTTTCTGGCACAAAAAATCTATTCCCTGTTATTTACACATAACAAATGCCTGAATTTTCTATTTATCAGCTAAAAAGAATTTTGAACCAAAAAGTGGCTAAAGTATTTTTTTAGAGTGCCGGTTAATTTATGAATATGTACATACTTACTGTTAGGTGTGGAAAACTGACAATAGATAATAAAAAAATGGTAATAAAGGTTTTTAATCGTATCATGTTTAACTCAATTTAACGTTGGCTTTAGCTCTAACAATAAGTCGAAAGTTGAGCTAATTATATTCTTTCTTGCCCTCTGCGAGCATTATAAAAATTGGCTAATAAACCAAAACTAATTGTAAGTCCTTAATTTGTTTAAAACTTCATAAAAAAAGTGCTCGACGCATTTCTAAAAGTTGTCAAATTCAATATAATTTTTACAATGTCACGAAATGTGGATAATTTATTAATTCTACAACTTCTTATTATGATATGATTAGAAATGACCTCAATTTGCAGATATATTTATTTTAAGGTACATTACAATTAAGCAGATGAGAACCTCATAATCCATATAGAGATAAAGTAATTTTAAATTAACATACATTTGTGATAATATTACTTAATGGTCTTTAACGTCTCTTGTAAAATATCTTTGTTATTTATATAATTTGAAATTATAAAAGGATAAAAATAAATTATCAAAGAATTCAGGATTAATCAGTTGTTAGATTGCAACGCCCTAAATAAAACTTTATCCCCGATCGCCAGCAAAGACTATAATGCGGCAAAATTGGGAGCAGGAAGGGAGGCGGAATTAAGCCGTACAAATTCGCTTGATGACGTGCCCCGTGCATATTTCAGGCCTGATTGTTTGCGAGTGCGTGCACTGGTTTATTGTTATTATTCCGGCGATCAGTCATTATACACCGGCGGCAAAAACTCATTGTTTGGCAAAGCCCGTGATTCACAGCGAGAATTAAATTACGCCATAGGACAATTTGCAGCACGACCAGAAAATGAAAATCATAATGATCACGAAATGTGAACAAAATAATAATAAATTCCAGCGTTGGCCAATTGGGCGATGCGGGAAAAAAATTGCAAATATGCGAAACTGACCAGCAGAGTCGTGTAATCAAACATCAAACAGCAGATAAAAGGGAATCATCAGGCAGCACAAACACAAACAAGCCAAATCCACCGACTACCTGCTCGGATCGTTTGTGAACGGAAAAAAAATGTAAATAGACAAAAATGCTGATGGCCACGAACGGACCACAATTTGAAATTTGAATTATTAGTGTGCGGCGGAAAGTTTGAGTTAATTGAGGCCTGCGGAGTTGTTGTCTCGACCGATATCTCATTACAAGCCTGACTTGTTTGCTCGAGGCCCTTTTGCCATTTCGGACGCACCACCTCTTTGCTCTCGCGGTGGCACTCGATTAAAGGCGGCAATCAAGTTAGGGTTGCTCGCCAACTTTGTGCAAATTAGAAATTTCACGCTCGCGGATTCGCAGACTGGGTTTGACTTTTTTCTTTTTGAAACGTGCAAAAAAGCTTATGAAAACTTCAATTTTTAAATCCGAGGTTCTGTTTTCTGGGGAATGTCTTCACTTTTTAGAAATAAGCATTACGCAACTAATTAAACCGCTTTCAATGAAACGGAGATTATTATTAACAGAGAACGGCTTTTTCACAGTTAATAATCTGTTAGTAATGAGCAAAAAGCGTGCTGCACAGCTTAAAATATTATATTTCCTTGCACCACACGCCTGTATTGTAAGGAAGTAGCATTCAAGAGTCTGTAACTATGGTCATAACACGCTTTGCGCGATTGTGAGTTTTCATTTAGCAAAGGTAGGCACTTTGAAACTTTATATACCAGCGTTTGATGTGAAAGGAAATAAATAAACGTCCTTACAAACTAGACGTGTTACTATAGTAATTAAACATTTTCTCTTTATTCCTTCAAAGTAAATCACGTTTTTAGCTTCATTTTATTTGCTTTTTACTTTGAAATGTCGTGGAAAAGATTTCTTACAATAAGAACTGCAAAAATAGCGTAACAATAGTCCTTCATCAAATTGTGCGCCATTAGATAATTTTGTGAAATTTTCCCTAACAAAAAAGGTTTGTAGTTTAGAAAAAAAAACGATGAAAGGGACTTAAGTTACAATTAAAAGCCTTATAATTTTTTTTTTTTAATTTTAAACATTGGAGTTATTATCTTCTCCACACATTATTTGTCTTCAAATTTCAACTTCAAGTAATTTTTTGCTTTGTTAGTTTTCCATTTTGTTTTTTTATCACACCTAACACCTGCATAGTTAAAAATACACAGTAAAATTGATCATTTGGTTCCATGATAACTGATTAAGAAAATAAATAATGAAAACACTGAAAATAGAATGTAATTTTCCTTTCTAAAAAACTCACTCACAAATTACAAATCCATTTCTGAAAGATGAAAACGCCATGAAATTTTTGGTATGCTGTATATTGTTTTCTTTTTTTACCTTACAAATACATCTCGTAACCCCACGTGTATCATCTGACCACCCTTTTGTTTGTTTCAGCGCCACTTCTCAAACAACTACAACGTGCACCTGCAGTCTCTCAATTTGCGCTCAAGTGGCCTCTACAGATGCGAAGTGTCCGCGGAAGCTCCTTCTTTCAGCTCCGTCAACGGCGAGGGTCGCATGGAAGTCGTCTGTGAGTCCCCCTTTTTTCTTCCACATTCGATTTTCCTGCGGCCGATTTTTGCCACCGGGTGTTTTCTGTTAAATAATTTATTGATCTCCGTGCAAGCGACCGTGACGTCCGCCGGCGCTTTGATTGATTTAACTTGTTTGTGTCGACGTTTGCAGACTTGCCAAAACACGACCCGCTCATGGACGGTGGCGGGGTGGTCTACGCCATGGGTGACCTGGTCAGCATCAACTGCACCTCCAGCAAATCGTTTCCGCCTGCCGAGATGCGATGGTACATCAATAACCACCCTGTAAGTGTGAGAAATTATTCGTTTTAAATAAAAGTCCAAGGATGGACAAAATCGTGATCTTCTTTTCAAAAATTGCTGCGATCGCGATCGCGATCAGATCGCGATCGCAATCGCAATCGCAGACCAATTTTTGAAAAGAAGATCGCGATCGCGATCGCAATCGCAAAAGTCATTAGAATCGGCCATCAAATAAATAATGTAGTGTATTAAGAAATTATCGCAATAAAATCGCAAGATCGCATGATCGCGATCGCGATCGCATGTTTTAAAATTTTCAGGATCGCGATCGCAGATCGCAACACTGCCGCTGATCGCGATCGCGATCGCAAAAATTTGAGATCGCGTCCATCCTTGTAAAAGTCAATATAAAGAAATTAAGGGCCATGCAACTCTGGAAATAAATTTATCCTAAAAATTATATGAAGAGGAGCGATATTTCCATGTTAATTAACAAATTGTCAATTTAAAGCCATAGACAAATGTCAACATGGATTTAATATCGACTTTCACTACTAAATTGTTGTACAGCTTGATGATGTGGTAAGAAAATGGAACAAGCAGAAATTAGAAATATTTATTTAATAAAGCAAGTTAATATTGTTCTATTGAAATTAAATATATCAGGAAAAAATCAGTAGATAAGGTTTTTTTATTGAAATACTTTGTAGCGACTAATTAAAAACTATCTTATTTTTGAACTGCACTATAAAAAATCAAACATTAAATTATACTAAAGTGTATAATGTTCATGACTAAAAGAATATTAAATTATTTTGCTTAAAAAACGACAAGAAAATTATAAGTTTAGAAATAATATATATAAAATGTCATGTGTAGACTTAAAATTAGGAAAAGCTGCATTGCGTTCGCTCCATATATAATTTATGGAGGTAAAATCCATTAATACTACTCATTCTACAAGTATAAAGTATGTGACAGATTGAATGGCTCCTCTAAATTACCTATTTGTTGCCGAGATATTCAAATTTTTGTATAGAGTTTTTCGATTAAAGGTTAGAAGGGTCAAAACCTTTGTGTCGAGAGTCGATTTTGATTCTAAAAATTGAATAGGAATGCAATTAAGTTTCAAAAAACGAAAGATGGTTTTCACCCCCTTGGATTTTTATATTTCAATAATAATGCATAAAAATCTTTTATATGTTCTATATTAAAAGGTTTTTACAATGATTTTTCAAGACAGTTTGTAACAACGGAGTGTTAAAAATAAAAATATTTTAAAGATTTTCATCACTTTCCGGCCCTTAGATTTAAGTTAGCTTATTTTTCCTGGCACTGTATATAATCACTCGAGTGTATACGCGTAATACTTTTTCCGTTCCGCCGAGATTTTATCTCTCTGCTTTTATGTGTTGCACGAAGAAGTGCTTCTGGCGAAAAAAAGCAGCGCCGAATTTGGCAAGCCGGCCGGGATAGCAAGCTAATTTTCGCTGACAGACCGTCTTTCTGTGCGACAAGCAAAAACTAGCGGAAAAGGCTTTTCTGGGCGCGCGTGCAATCAATACCCGCGCGAGAGTGTACGGCTCAATTACTTCCTTTAATCCCCAACGATATGGCCCATAAAACCTCTCTCGCTACTTTTTTTGCATCGAGTTTTCGAGCTCAAAATCTCAGACTGCGAAAAAAATATGTATAATGTAAAAAAGGAACTTCTTGCTTGTGAGATGATGCTCCATTAAAGCGATTACGACAGCCAATGACAGGGGAACAAAGAAACTTGTGCACAGCGGCAGCTTTTAAGCTTTTTTCCGGCAAAAGACGCAGGCACCTCTCTTTCTCTTATAACGCTATTTATTTTCGTCAATACAGCAAGAAATATACAAATTTCGGGACAAAAAGCTGCTACTCCTTTGTGCAGTCACTTAAGACAGAGCGCAGAAATTTGCTGCTTATTATTTATGAATATACAAATAAGATTTTCCCCAGCAGTGCACTCTCTTCCTCGGAAAAAATGTGTTCGAGTGATATTTTATGGAGGCATTAAACAAGAATCTTCCATCATCTCGGCCTGCTCTCTTTTTGATTCCCTTTAGATGCGCAATAAAATATTCAATAGGCGGCCTTGTTAAGACGTGCTAGTCGCGGGGATTTCCATGTCAACCTCAAAAGGCGCCACGGAACGCCTCTCGCACAACTAATTACTTTAAAAGTTTTCCGATTATGGCGGAAAGCGAGATATTTTTTCGCCGCTCTCTCCAGAGACAGAGACTTTGATTCTTTTCGTGGAAAATTCATCGCACAGAGTGAAACCGAAAAGCCACCCTCGGTCTGAGTGACGTGCAAAATGAATTTGGTTTGCTGCGTGTGTGCATGCCAGACACGTCAAGCCTCAAGAATGAGAATTTACGGCCATAAATATATTGTTTTTGCGTTCCTTTTCCGGCACCCGGCGTTTAACCAAATCAAGAAGAAAGGAACATTTTTTTCAATTGTGAACAAAAGGGGATCACGAGCAGGTTCTGCTTAAATCAGCCAATCATTTATAATTATTTTATACTCAAAATTTTCTAATTTTTCTAATAAATTGAACTGAACAGAGAAATCATCTCTACTTTTTTATGATCATTGCATAAATTAATTGTTCCTCTTTAAATTCAAATACACTTTCGACTTTTGTTATAAATGTGGGTTTTTAAATACTCGATTTGCATTGAAATCATCTATTTTTTGCTTAGAATAATTTGTTACCTAAAATTTGAACATCATGGCAAATAAAAATTTTTTTAAAAAAAACTTTTTCAAATAAATATCAATTATACTTGAAGTATTAAATTAACTAATGAAAATAAATTTAAAATGGCAAAATTTATAAATTAAGTTTGTTTTATAAATGCAGCTAAATTATTATACTTTATTTAATAACTAATTATTTACAGTTTTTTTTTTAAATATAAGCTAACCACCTTTTACATAATTATTTGTACGTAACTGCAGCTCTGTCTCTCTCATACTAATGTATAAGCAATTAATAGTGAATGTTTGCCCGTCAGCATGTTTATTTAGGTGCGAATGGACGCAGATGGTAAAAAGCCGACGGTTTTCGCATGCCAAATTGTTTCACTAATTTCAGGCCACGCTGAATATTTAATTAGGGCCGTGATTGAGCGACTGATTGAATCTCAAGCGCTCATCAAATATTCATCCGGCTATCGCGCTCGCTCCCCAAATGAGCCGAGCTAGGGAAGCTTTGGGCTGGGCCTTGCGATTTTTCACCTAGATTGATAAGGTGCGCCTCGCGGTAATAACTAATAGCGCCTCATCAAGCTTTAACACGCGGCTAATGCCAAATCGATACACACCTGCCTCGCTCGGCCAGCCTCGAATAAATTGCACCCTCGCAATTTGGACACTTTTATAAATTGCGAGCCAACCCTCCGCTCGTCTTCTTTGAACGTGCGACGCTTCTTCCCCGCCGCCACCTCAGCCCTAGAATCGCTGTGTGTATAAATTTGAATTGATTTTTGCCCCCTCAAACTGCTGGAATCCGAGAGCCAGTCCGGTCTGACTTAACTTTTAGAAAATAGTAAAATTGGCACAAAGTTTTTCTAGTGATGTGTCTAATTAAGATGTAAGAATATGCAATTAGAGGCATATTTAAATTTGGTTTTGTTGAGGATCTAGATATAAAAATAAAAATGAATAGAAAAAGTGTTGAATGAACTTTGAAAAGGAAAATTAATTATTCAATTGATTTAGCAACTGCAACAATCGATCATGATTAAAAAAAGGTAAATCAGGATTTTTTTCCATCAACATTTTTATGGTCGCTTTTTGTCTAATTATTTACATGAATTTTACACAAAATGAGCGGCAATTCACCTAATATTAAATTAAATTAGCATTTTCACATTAAATAATTACAAAGAAAAAAGGAAGCTCAAAGGATAAAATTAAGATTAAATTAAATACAAGCAGTTTTGGTTTGACAAATTAGTTATTTGAGCTTTGGAACTAAATTTGCCGCTCCTTAATTATTATTCTTTCTGTAATTAACAAAATATTTTGAAGACAGCGGTACATTGTTAAAAATTTATAAAACATCCACAGCAAACATTAAAAACTCTCATTATAAGTGGAACGGTTGCAGTTTGAAAAAGAGATATTTATATAAGCGTATTATTTTCAACGTACGTGAAGTTGGCGATATCGCCAGCCTTTGGACCAGATTTTTTAAAAGTTGTGAACCTGGCGATATCGCCAGCTTTCAATAGAGATATAAAACAACATTTCGGACAGTATAAACACAAAAACAAATGTCCAACGACATAAAACATGCGTCCGAACAATACAAGTGATGGTACAGCTACAAAGCGATTTCAGGTGTTCCTACAGCACGTTTCCAGTAGAAACTCCCTGTGCCGCGACGCCATGCACCATTTCGGACAGCTCGTGCACCCAGCTATCCGAATTGGTACATACTAAGGTGCTCCCACCCTGCAGGGTGAACGAAAAACCACCCCTTAGGTAAATTTGAGCTAAAATGTTCACTTTAAATCGTTCGGACGCCCTTGTGGCCATCCGGGACACTTGTGCCGCGACGCCATGCACCACTTCGGACAGCTCGTACACCCAGCTGTCCGAATTGGTACATACTAAGGTGCTCCCACCCTGCAGGATGCACGAAAAACCACCCTTAAGATAAATTTTTGGTAAAAAAGTAGCTTTAAATCGTTCGGACGCCCCTGGGACCATCCGGGACGCTTGTGCCGCGACGCCATGCACCACTTCGGACAGCTCGTACACCCAGCTGTCCGAATTGGTACATACTAAGGTGCTCCCACCCTGCAGGATGCACGAAAAACCACCCTTAAGATAAATTTTTGGTAAAAAAGTAGCTTTAAATCGTTCGGACGCCCCTGGGACCATCCGGGACGCTTGTGCCGCGACGCCATGCACCACTTCGGACAGCTCGTACGCCCAGCTGTCCGAATTGGTACATACTAAGGTGCTCCCACCCTGCAGGATGCACGAAAAACCACCCT